GTTCGTATCGATTCTGTAGACCTGCCAGTGTTTCAGCAGACGACAGAGAAGGTGGAAGGGATGGGCACAGATACACAGAGACAGATATTTCCTTCCGGGGATGTGGATAGGTTGAGCTGAATCTGCACCCACCAAAACGTTGGGCTGCATGAACCAGTCAATCAGTTGTAGCCACACCCAAGCCCCAGTGGGCTCCTGGCTTCTTCCTACTGCTGAGGCCTTAACCATCCCTCAGGGACAGCTCTCGTTTCAACAGGCAGCTGACCCATGGCATTAAGGAAGGTGTCCCAGTCCTCTCGGCCTGCAGGGCTCAGTCCCCAAGAATCATCTTTGCCTGTTCCTGTCACCTCTTTAGCTTCTTGCGTCCTCCACTCCCTTTGTCTCTTCCCTTTCCCAGCCCTGCACTGCAGCTGCCTTTGAAAGGGTTTTGAAATTACTTTTCCACCCACCCCATCCTGCTTGACACCTATCACCTCCAGCTGCTGTGCTAAGTCAGCCCTTGCAGGGGGGAGGGGAGGTGGGGAGGAGCCTGCCTGGCAGGGACTGGCAGGAGGCACGGCTTCCACCCGTGCTGACTCACCGGCCACCAGTGATAGGGGCAAGGTCGGCCTTTGGGAAAATGGCGCCCTGGGCAAACTTGTATTTTGGCAACCCCCCCACCCCACCCCCAAGCCAGTGGAACTGCTGAAGGCAGAGGCAGGTAGGCAGGGGTGCGGGGGGCAGTCTGGTGGGGAACCAGAGTGGCATGGTGCACCAGGCAGGCTCGTGGGTGGGCACCACTGCTGCTGTGTGGGGAGCAGGACAGGTAGACTGGAGCAGGCATCACCCCACCTGCACATGCCCAGCCCGGCTCCTCCTGAGGCAGGAGGTGGGGGGCAGGTTAGGCTGGGCACCCCTCCTCCTGCATGGGGTGGGGATGGGGCGGGCAGAGGAGAAAGCACTGCTGTGAGTGTGTGCGTCTGTGTGTGTGTGGGCACGTGCGCCACGGTGCCCTGGTGGTCACCCACGTTGCCCACCCCTACGGCTGGCTCTGGACAGGAGAGTAGGGGCTACTGTACTTTTGGACAGAAAACACCAGGCATTGAACTGCCACAAAAAATTACAAGCCAGAGAGCACAGGGTGCCAAGCCCTCAATCTCTTCCTTGCCCCCAGTACCCCAAAGGCTGAAGATGCCATCAGAGCCACCCACCTGGTGGACCTACCTGTCCTGGTAGATCATTTCCTGGGGTGCTGGCTTTTTACTAAAGCCCTAATAAAACACCAACAATTAGATTTATTCCTGGACCTGGTTCCCTCACCAGCACTGCATGCTAGAACACGTACCTTGCAGATTGGAAACTCATGGAGGCTCTGGGGCAACTCTGAGACGTCTCTCCTTGTTGGTGCCATCCCCTTTTCTCCATACCTCTCCACAGCCAGCTGCCTATACTTTGCCCTCATCTTTGTCCCCCACTTTGTTTCATATCACAAAGCTGCCCCAACAATTTGGCATAAGCAGGGTTTTCTGCTAACAACAGCTCTGGCACTTAAATAGCAGGGGTGCAGCTGGTTTGGGCGGAGATGGCTTGGCACAACAGGGGCAGGTCCCAAGGCTTGAATAGCAGAAGGTGTTGCTTGTCAGGGAAGAGGGGCCCTGGCAGGGAGGGCTGTGAGAGGGCCCAAGAGCAGATCAGGAGAGGCTGCTGCAGGTCGGTAATGTGATGCATTGGCAGGGCTGTATGTGTGAGCCTTGCCCTCTGCCTGGCTCCAGCTGCTGCTATTAGCTGCTCATGTTGAGAAGCACTGAACTCACTGACACGTTTTATTTAATGCAACAGTAAAAAACAAGCAAAAAATATCTACCCGAGGAGAGAAGCTGCAAAATGTGAAACAAAAAAATTTGTGTCAACTGCATTGTGCCTATTCCTGTCCTCCTTTCCCCTCTCACAGCTCTGCCAATGCCACTCAGTCCTGACCGGCAGTGTGCCTTGCCACTCTGGTCACGTCCTACATCCTCTGCCAATACCCCTTGCTTCCAGCATAAAGCACCCATTGTTTTTCTGTTCCCTTTGCCAATGTGCCTCATCTCTGCCTTCTAACATCCATCCCCTGCTGCTCCAATCTGGCGAGACAAGGCCCCGTTGGGTGTGTGGCATCTCTGGGGAACCATTGTGATCACGTAGGGATTTGCCCAGGAAACACAATATACCAGTGAGCAAAGAAGGCACTGAGATGTATCAATGGTAAAAACATTGTCTACTTCAACTTTCTTTTTCACACCAATGTGCTTTGCAAGGAATGCTTGGAGAAATCACTTGACCAGATAGGAAATGCAGCTGAGTCTACTCTTCACACCACAGAGCTCTGATCTATCACAACATGACTAGTTCTGGGTCCCAACTAACAGATTTAAAGATGGCTTGAGTCTCTCTACACAACATTTCACCCTTCAGCATAGATGTATTCTGGAATACCACAGCCATACCAACTCAACAGAACTATAACTGCCTCCAGGCTACAGGGTGGAAAATCAGGATAGTTCCTTCCACCAAATCCAAGTCCGTGGCCTGCGGGGAGAATATGGCTGAGATGGCATTTGTAGCTGCTATATTATTGCAAAAAGTGTGGTAAGGTCCCTCCTGCCTGACTCTGTGGGCCTGATTCTCAGAGTGGTGTGAACTGAAGTTGGTGGAGCGGTGCTGTGCTGCTTTATGCCAGAGGAGGATCTAGCCTCCACACATGGCCAAAGCAGAACTGGGATGTCCCGCTCAAGAGATGACACAAACATCACACTTACTGCCTGGGGACAATTCACCATGCAGCTCCAGAGAGCACTCTCTGAAAGGCACATCACACTAGCTTCTTGTTATTGCCCATGAGTGCAACTCAGGACCCTTGGCGTTGACCCTCCTGTCCCATCCCAACATACTTCGTGCACGGAAGCCAAGACCACTTTGGGTAGCTCTGCCCTGGAGCTGCTGTCCTTGACTTCAGCTCTCTTGCTGCTCTCTCCCTGCCTGCCACAGTGGACCAGGTGGTCAGAGAAACAAAGCTGAGCAGGTTCCCTTAGGTCACCATATGAGCTGGATGCTGGCAACCCAGTGAGCCCATTACAAGTGACACACTGTTGCATTAACTGCATTTGAGCGGCCAAAGCAAACTGTGCCTCCCTGGCCATCCCCTCCTCTCACCAGCTCCACTGGTGTCACGAGCCAGGCTAGATCACATGGCCCCTATTCTGTCAGAGATGACAGTAACAGCGTGGTAGGGCACTGGCATTTCAAAGGGCTAGTACCTTGGGAGGCTTTGCCTTCCTGTTTTATTATGAGTATGTGAGCACGAAAAAGGGCCCGGCTCACGACCGGCCCACACAGGGTCCATCTCTGAAAGGAAACATGGGCAATTATCTCTGGCAACTTTGCCTTCCTGGTCTATTATGAGCACGTGAGCACGCGTGCGCACACAGACACAGACACACACACACACACACACACACACTGCATTTCACCATGGAAAGCCCCCAAGTTCCTTCTGCACACAAACCAACAACTATTGCGAATGCTACAGTACAAAGCACGTTGTGTGCCTCGAGGCTGGTACGTAATGCTGTGTCTGGAGGTGACAGAGCCCTGCCATAAACTGGGGGATTGAACCTTCCCTCCGTGCTTCTTGGGGGAAACATTCTCTCAGGGTGTGGGGGCGTGCTGAGTGCAAGGACTTCAAAACAAGCCGCCTTACAAAATGTCAGTGACTCCGTGTGTGTGTGTGTGTGTGTGTGAGAGAGAGAGAGAGAGACAAAGCGCATGCGCCAGCAAGGGGGAGAGAGAGTGAGGGACAGAAATGGGACAAGAAGTATGTTTATTTGAAGTCAGAAACAGAAATAATAAGACAGAAAGTGCAGCAAGGAGAGAGAGATGTGCAGCCATATGGGAGTTGAGAAAAGGAGGGAGGGAAGGGTGTGGGGTATGATGTTGGGGGAGATTCAGTAACCCTTTCTCTCCCTGTTGCCCCTTCACTTAGCTGGGAAGTGAAACCTCTTGCACTTGCTGAATAAAACAGAGGAGACGCAGAGAAAAACAGAAGAGTAGTTTGGTCCCATCAATGCCTACTGGCTCTCTCTCTTCATCTGTAATCCTAATCCCCCTCTCCCCAGCTCCCAGGTAATAGCAGACCCATCCAGTCTGAGGTTGCGGGGAAAGGGGTGTCTAAACTTTCTCCCCAGGGCAAGATCAACTTCATTCCCAACAGGGTTTGTAGCCCCACTTCCCTGAGACTTGTGGGTCAGTGTGTGTGAGGAGCATGTGGTCCACACACACACACACACACACACACACACACACACACACACTCTCTCTCTCTCTCTCTCTCTCTCTCTCTTCTGTGACATGACAGGAGCTATACAAAAGCTGTAACAAAGCTCCCTCCCAAAGCAGGTGAAAGCTGAGATACCTCCTGGTAGGAACTGAACTACATGGAGACGGACTCCCTTTGAAAGACCCCCAAGTCGCAGGGCTGAAATGTGAGCTTTGCATTCAGAATCACGGAAATTAGGGCTGGAGAAGGTCTCTGACAGCAGGTCATGTCTTGTCTGTCCCCACCACCCAGTGAGGGACTGTGGCCCTCAGTCCACCCTCCAGGGATCTGCCTGGACCAGGGCTTTCCTCGCTCCTCCCGGCAGACTGTTCCTTAGTTTAATAGCTCTCAGGTTGCTGATCTCCAGCCCAATTTCCCCTTCGTTCAGCTTCTCCCCGTGTCTCAGATTTCTACCCACTCTGAGTCCTCGGTGTTCTGGATGCTAGACTCACATCTTGATTTTCTCAGGGCCAAAGTCAAGAGGGCTCAGTGGGGGTGGGAGGCCCCTGCAGGGATATGGCATTTGACTTGAGCTTGCCATCTGGTAGAGAAGGAGACAATGCAACCAAAAGGAGGCTATGGAGGGTATCACCTTCCCACTGCAGAGGGCGAGAGATGGTGCGGGGATGCAGAGGGTAAGAGAGGGAAGGAATAAGGCCCCTTTTACCTGGACATAGTCATCTCCGTCTGAGGGCTCTGCGATTTCTCCAGGCCCAGCTTGGTGAAGATGCCTATCAGCACCATGATGGCCACGACACCACAGATGATATACACAATCATGTTGGTCTTGTCCCGAGTGGGGTCCTCATGGGTCTCATCCACCTGGGATGGCGGCTGGCCTGTATTGACCCAGTCGGGCGTGTCGTAATTGGAGCATCCGCTCTGGTCCAGCCGTCCATGCTTGAACTGGCAGCAGAAGCGGTACCCACAGGTCCCACAGCAAAACCGATAGATCCCTGAATTGCAATTAAATGGAGGGTCCCACTGCCCCATGACATCATAGTAACCAAGGCATCGGTCACCTCCTGGCATGACCTCGGTTGGGGCCACAGCGGTGTCTTCCATGGTAGGACCCAAGCTGGTGTTGGCTTTGCCTCCCTTTTGTCCTTCCAACTCAGGATCCTTGGTGTTAGGAGCCCTGGTCCAAACTCGCCCGGGGTCCAAGAGAACCAGACAACAGAATCCAAAGATGTACCCACGCTCCATCCGTGCAGCGCTCCCGCTCGCCATCGAAGTTACCTCGCCTCTTGCGTCGGTCACTAGCAAGCTCCACGCCCGCTGCCTCTGGGGAGGAAAATGCCGTCTCCTCCCAGCGCACAGCAAGGAAATGGTTCAAAAATTCCCAGTCAGACACAAGGATGCAAACTGCATCATGCCGTCTGCCCCTTTGGAGGGAACAGACAAGTCACCCCCCCTCACCACACAGGTTTCCTCAGGGCAAATCTCACGGGTGGAACAAGCCACTGTTTGAGGAAAGGTCTCGGGGACCTGGGGTGCAGGGGGAGGGGGGGAAAAAGGAGGGAGGAGAGAAAAAAACTATTCAGGACAAAAATAAAAAAACATAAAATAAAAAGTATCACAGGAAAGTCAGCCCCACATCAGGACAACCCCCCCAAATTCAGAGCCCAAATGCAAGGAAGCACAGACGCCTCCTCTTCTCCTCGTCCTTAGGAGAGAATTTTGTATCTTTGTAATGCCAGGAGCAAGGCTTTGCTGGAAACCCCACGGACCATTCCCATCTCGGCTGCTTTAGGCTGGGAGAGGATCCTGAAGGCAGGCAGGCAGCCAGTGCATCTCTGTCTCTCTCCCCCTTCCTCAGAGACACCGAGCTTCTGGGAAAAAAAAAAACCCTTCACACTAGAGAGGGAGGGGAGGAGGGAGCAACAGAGAGAGAGAGACAGTGAGAGGGGGGAGGGAGGGAGACAGAAAGAGAAAGAAAAAGGAGAGAAATAGTCTTTATTCCTTACTAAAGCTAGGAGGGCTCCTGCTCTTCAACTGTCTGACAGTTTCCAAAGGAAATCAGAGAAGAAGCATAGCCAAGTCCTCTAGCACATTTGCTGTCCTCTGTGCAGAGCTCTGGACGTTAGCCAGAGGTTGTCACTGGGCCAGACAGGATGCAAGAGGACACTTGCAGCTCCTTACTTGCTGTCCCCACAGGCACCGGTGCACAAGTGGCACGAGTGACAGAGATGCCCGTGCATGTGCACCCTGCTGCTGTCAAAGTGAGGGAAGAAAGGGGTTGTTGTTGGAAGTGCCTGGATCCCCCTGCAGCTAGTCCTGACATCGAATCATAGACTCATAGAAAACTATGGTTGGCAAGGACCTCAGGAGGTCATCTAGTCCGACCCCCTGCTCGAAGCAGGACCATCTCCAACTAGATCATCCAAGCCAAAGCTTTGTCTAGCCAGGTCTTAAAATCCTCCAAAGATGGAGATCCCACCACCTCTCTAGGTAACCTGTTCCAGTGCTTTACTACCCTCCTTGTGAGAAAGTTTTCCCTTATATCTAATATAAACATCCTTTGCTGCAACTTGTGACCACTGCTCCTTGTTCTGTTGTCTGCCACCACTAAGAACAGTCCAGCTCCCTCTTTTGAACCTCCCTTCAGGTAGTTGAAGGCTGCTATTAAATCCCAACTCGGTCTTCTCTTTTCTAGACTAAATAAGCCCAGTTCCTGCATCTGCCCCTGCCCTGCACAGGCTCCACTTGTCTCTGCTCTGGCAACAGCGGAGGGAGGTGGGCACATGCCCCACCTTCCAGTTTGGAAAAGGTGATCAGCCTACCTTCACGTAGTTGAGGGCTGTTTTTAAATCTCCCCTTTCTGTAGCGGCAGGCCCAAGACTGCACACAGTTTGTCCAGTGTCTCTCGCCCTCTCTTCCCCCAACAATCCTCCTCCTCCCCCCTCCCCACCCCCACCCCGCGGGAAAGTGTTGCCACCCCTTGTTAAAAAGAAACACACTGGAGGAAGAGCACCAGTCCTCATTCCTGCCAGGGGACTTGGAAGAACAAGCCATCAAGAGTGACAATAGCTCTCCATGGTCCTGACTCACCCAAAGTTTCCAGCTGAGTTTTGTCTGAGTTGAACTCCAGGATCAACAAATCTCACCCTGCCCCCTTGTACAGAAGGCATCCAAAAACGGATGCCTGCCAGGAGGCTCAGGAATCCATATTTAGGTACCTCAATAAAAAGCTTTATTTCCAAGAGCACTGAGCTCCCAGCAGGATCTGCTTCCCGAGGGAGCTACCAGCTGCTTAAAGACCCTTATTTAGGCACCTACAACCAGATTTAGTCATCTCATTTTTAGTCACCTTGTTCTTGAAAATCTTGGTTTTGTTTAATAGGCTGAGAGAAACCTGCCACTGCTCTGGGGAGTCAGGGATGTGGCATAGAGTCTTCTAGGGCAAAGCAAAAGGTTCAGGGCTCAGCCCTAGGTCACTAGAGACCAAATGCCCTTGCTATTGGGTTCTAGCCTGGCTCTTATACGATGCCCATGGCTCTGATTTGAATGTCAGTAAAGCTGCAAGATTTGCCTCTTGCAACATCCACCCTTCTTGATTCCTCTTTGTGGAAAGAAAAACCTGTGTGCACTGCTGTGGGGGAGGGCTGGTTTTTGCTTTGACATGCTACAGCAGAAGGCAGGGGGCACATATACCCCTTGCACTAGGAGCAGGGAGTGGCATGGTCTGAGGCAGGAACAAATTGCATAGTCCTGGATGAGTGTGCTGTCACCTTCTGGTGGTCCCTGGACAAATCCAGGTGTGTGCCAGTCTGTCTCCTTCTGGGGAGAGCCCAGGTGTCTCAGTCTAATGCTTAGGAAGTGATGACCCAAAACAAGGCACTGCCACACAGCGATGCCCCCACCCAGTTCCATACGCCTTAGCCCTGGTGACGGTGTCCACATGCCATGCTGCACAGGCCCATTAACCCTTCCTAAAACCCCTTGCCAGCTCCAGCTAAATCCAGGATATTGAGAGCCACCCTGCAGGTTACTGAGGATACAGGGGATGAATTCAGCAGTGCACTTAAAACAGCATGGAAGCTACAGTAGCATCTGGCAGGCCACAGAGAAACATACAGGCGAGTGTATTGGCAGGACAAGGGATGTGTATTAGGAAAAGGCCTCTCTGTAGCCATTTCTTCCTCTATTTTGACCTTCCAGTTTTGCTCCTTTTACTTATTACTATTCTGGGACATGCTCTGGCCAGTGTGTGGCTTCCTCCATCACTACTTATTGTCAGAGGAGGAAGGAAAGCTTTGTGGTCAGAGACCTGGACTGCATCCTGAGCAGGCTGGACTGACTCTTACCTTTGCTATAGATCTCTTGGGGTGAAATATTTACCCTTTTCTGCCTCAGTTCCCTATCTGAAAAGTGAGGTTAATGCTTCCGCATCTCCTACTCCTGCACGCGCGTGCGTGTTGTCTATTTATATTGTCAGCGTCTCAGGGCAGGGCCTGTCTCTTGCTGTTTGTACAGTGCCCAGCACTAGGGAGTCCCAGGGTCCCCCAGGCACTGTGGTTGTATAAATAATTATAATAATAATATGAACAGAAAAGCAAAGGATTAAATGGGCCATGGAGACTCTGCTTCTCCAAGTCAATATTGAAGCCGAGCGGGGAGCTTGTCTTCACTGCCCTCGTCCCTCCTTGCAGATGAGGAGAGAACTGCATGGACAGGAACCTGGTGCTCTTCACCAGCGCCAAATTCACCATAAAATTCCCTGCCATAATTAGAAACTCAGTCCTTCCCAGAAACAGATCCTTCACCTGGGACATTCTGTATGGCAGCCAGATCACTTCCCCCCTCCCTCCTTATGCTGTGAGGAGAGAGAGAGAAAGAGGGAGAGAGAAAGGGGGAGTTTCCCCACTCAGCTCACCTGACACAATCTACTCATCCTGCGTAAACCGCACAAAACAGCATGACATGGAAGAACAGTGCCATACCATGCACTGCATAGGAAAAGTATCCCACTGGCCAGGGAGGGACAAAATACACACTCACCGTCCCTTTCATGAATGATAATGACATCCCCCGCCTCTCATATCAGGCCAAAGCTTCCGGAAACCAGGCACAGGGATGGCTCCCTCCGCAGAAGGGGTGGAACGCGGCCGTGTTTCTACGCAGGAGGAATTCAGTGCATAAAATACATAGGGAGAAGGGGATTAGGATAAACGCTCACAGCTTTGAATATCTACTTCACATTAGTGCCACATCAGCCCATTTTGGCAGCACATAGCAATACAGGCACAATACAATAATATTCAGTCTCTTCTTGTTTTGAATTAGTTGAAACTGCAGGAAAACATTAGGTAGACAGAATTTAACCCAGGCCAAACAACTGACTGAACTTGCTAGACTTAAACTAAATGCTATGACACTTTTAATGATTATTAGAAAATAGAGCCTCTTCTTTGACTCCTACCAAAGAAAGCACAGCCAGCAGCTCTGGAGCCACCATTAGAGATCACTGTTTCTTTGCTGACTGTCTCGACAGCCAGACTGGCCACTCTGCGGCAGGAGGGCCACGAGTGGCATAGGTTGCATTTGTGCATGGCATACAACAGATTAGGGTGGGAAGAGGCAGCAGAGTGGCAGATAGGGCAGGAAGCAGAAGGCAGAGCAGCAGATCAGGCGGGGAGCACAGGGCAGAAAGCATAAAGCTGTTGGGAAACTTGGACAGGGAGCACAGAGAAGGGAGCAGAAAGCAGAGCAGAGAGGAGGAGGGAGCGCTTGGGGCAGGTATGGGAGTAATTGGTGGCATGCCTGCCCAGAAAGATTGGGCCCACTGCTGTATAGAAAGAGGGTGCCTTTCCTGTAGCCTCCAGAGTTTTCTTTGGAAATCATATATCCAAATAGTCACAAAATCCCAAATGACTTCTAGCTATGTGTGTAGTATTACGGGGAGTTACCAGAGAACACCCTGTGTATACATTCCTCTAAACAGCCCCCCTTGGAGGGCAGACAGTTCAGATTTTACAAGCAGGGCTGTGTTTGGTTCTGATACAGTTTTTCTTAACAGAAACTGTGCTAATCTCTAGGAAAGTTTGTTCCCTGTCTGAGTGCTGACTGGAATAATCTCTTGGCGTCAGGGCTGCAGTTACAGTCACACATGCAAACAAAACCAGCCATGGCTCAGGCAGTGCACAAGCAGCCTAAGAAAGGAATTAGACAAAATTAAGGAGATTGCTGTAGTTGAGTTGCCTGGAATCAACTAGGAAAGAATGAATGTT